GGCTGCTGCCCTGGGTTAACGCGGCGCGGCGCGGGGGGGAGCGGCGGCCCCGCGGCGAGGGGAAGGGGTGGCCTGGCCCGGGCGAGAGTTGTTCCCCCCTCGGTGTCCCTCCCCGCCGGGCGGAGAGGAGTTTGGTCCCCCCAAAGGTGCGGCCAGCTCCTCGCCTAGGAGGAAGTGGCCGCCTGCTTCCCGGCAGCCTCCGGTGTCGCTCCGGTGCGGCCGGCTTGGTTGGGACCCCAGCACAGGGTGCAGCCACGGAGGGGTTCTCCTTTGGCTTGTCACAAGCGCCCACCCCAGCCCTTGCTGCGAGCTGAGCAGCCCCAGCCTCTCTGGGGCTCTGGTGTAGCTGCGGTGCTTCCCTACCTGCCGGATACGCGCTGGTATGGAGAGCGGGAGCTCACCTCCGTGTCTGCAGGCGGCCTTCAGCAAGCAGAGTCCCTTCTGCCAAGCTTTGCAGGTTGCCTGACAGCTTCTGATCTCCTGCAGGAAATACAAGGATCATTTTGCTTCTTGGATGCCTGGGTCTTTGCTGATGGTTTAGCTTTAAATACCAAAGTTCAGTTTTTCGCAGAAAACCAGTAAAAGAGGCAAAAAAATCTGGAGGTATGCTTGTTGATTGTCTTGCTTGACAGCTGTGTTCCTGCGTGATGTTCTAGCTAAAACTTGGCTTCGCTGGCTCTGAAGGTAAGCGTCATCAGTGCGAAGCCATAGGCCTGAGGCAGCGGTAACTTAATAGGCTGCTAGTGTCCAGATTTGTTCTTTCCAACCGGGATAAGAAGGATAGCAGCATGCAGTGGAGTCATGCAGTCCAAGTTTAGGAACCGGCCTTAATTTCACAACCTTTCATTTTTTTGGAGGAGATTACTATGAAACATCAGACGTGCAGAGACATCCGACTGTCCTCTGGTGGGAACAGTAGGTTTTTAACCTCTTTTAAAAAAATCAGGAACTTATCTTTCAACTCTTGACTTTTGCAGAACAGAGGTAATGAGAAAGGACGCCTTTCCTAAAGAGCTTTGGTTGCTGTAAGTGGAAAGCACGTAGTGATTTTGAGTATTCTTGCCTGAGAGATGCTGCTCTAGGAAACCCATGGAAAATCTGTTCTGTTTCCATGAGCCTCAACAGATCAGAATTCATACGGGAATTCATCTGATCACCAATGAGATCAAGGTTTTGCCAGTCTTGAGAGTTTGGATTTTGGATTGGGTTCATGTGATTTCCTGCAGTAAGATCCTGTGGGTCAGCCATTTCACAATGAAATCTGAAACAAAATCTGTTGAACTACAATGTAGTTAGATAAGAGCCACTGTAACTATCTGTCACCAGTCTTGACTTAGAATCATAGAATCATAGAATGCTTTGAGATGGAAGGGACCTTTGAAGGCCATCTAGTCCATCCCCCCCCGCAATGGGCAGGGACACCTACAACCAGATCAGGTTGCTCAGAGCCCCATCCAGCCTGGCCTTGGATGTTTCCAAGGATGGGTGGTCTACCCCCTCTCTGGGCAACCCCTTCCAGTGTTTCACCACCCTCACTGTAAAAAATTTCTTCCTTATATCCCGTCTGAATCTACCCTCTTTTAGTTGAAAACCATCCCCCCTTGTCCTGTCGCTACTGGCCCTGCTAAGAAGTCTGTCCCACCTTTCTTGTAGGCCCCCTTTAAGTACTGAAAGGCTGCAATAAGGTCTCCCTGCAGCCTTCTCTTCTCCAGGCTGAACAACCCCAGCCCTTTCAGCCTTTCCTCATAGCAGAGGTGCTCCAGCCCTCTGATCATTTTTGTGGCCCTCCTCTGGACCCTGTCCAACAGGTCCATGTCCTTCTTGTACTGAGGACTTTGCCTTGCCTACAGTATTGTAAAAATTAGAGATCCTTGGTTTTGCTAGCGGTTTGCACAGCTGCTGGTATTTCTACCTTTAAGTGCATATGTGTATATTTTATTTTTCAGAAAAGCCTTGGACACAGAGTGTACCCTGGTCCTCTGCGTTTGTGTGTTATTTTTAAGGCAAATGAGTTCACTCTGCCTGTGCTTTGAGTTGGCTGACCAGGAGTCCATCTCAAGCCAGAAACTGAGCAAGTACGGCATTGACAATATCCTACTGCAGAAGTACCTGTTGAGGCAGTGTTGCACCTCTGCGGCATGTTTTCCACCTGGTGGAAACTGGGTGAGCTCCTATTTGCCTGGAAAATACTGTGGAGGTGCAGCCTAAGAGGACACTGAAAGAATGATGCTTGCAGTTGTCATCCAGATGTTACCACATAGTCCCTGTTCCCTTGCTCTCATCCTGAAAACATGGAGTAGAGGGAAAGTCTTTGAATATGCGATAAAAATCGAGTGCTGGTTGACGGTGGCCCTTGCAGTTGGTACCTTCCAGGCCTCCCCCTTTCCTTCCCTCCTTTCCTGCTGTTGTGCTCCCCAGTTAAGAAGCAACTAGCACAGCCCTGCAACCCCTGTTCTCCGGGGTGTATCCAGAGAGGGCATCCCAAGCTCACTCTGCACTGTTTGTATTGCCTTATCGAAGGCAACTGGCGATAACTTCGCTATTGTTGATGACAAGCACAACTTACTGTATTATCAAAGTTTAAATAAGATAGAGATGTCTCTGGAGTGTGGCTAAAATAAAGCATAGCTTATGAGAAACTTTGTAAAACTTTCCTCAGTGGGTGCAGCTGCTTGGATAGAAAATTGTGTGGAGATTGTTACGGATGAGTTCTAAACATGCATAACAATAGCTTCATTAAAAAGGAAAAAAAAGGTAATTGATGTGTACTGTTCTGAAGTGGCGATAAACAGATTAAGTTTAACTATGATGCTACAGCCCAAAAGTTGTATTGTCTTAATCCTGGTCACCACTAGATAACATTCTGATGAGTGTCTTAGTGAGACCTTGGTAAAATTAATTTGGTCTTTATATGAATGGATGGCGCTGCAGGACTTTTCTGGTTATGGAGACAAGCCAAGGCAATCCCATCCCGTGTGCTTCTGGGCCCAACGAATCATATCCCTCAGCTTGGAGGGACAGTTTTCCCCATGCAGAAGGAGAGCACTGAGCGATGTGCTATGTAATGGCTACTAATAGGTGCTTTGGAGAAAATAATTCAGTCCAGAAGGCAGGCCAATGCAGCTGGCTGAAGCTGCCTTCTGCCAGGGAAAGATGGGACTCACGTTCTAACCAGGGTTTGTAACTGGATGGCTTCACCAGAGGGGCTGGTGAGATCCATAGGTGCAGGCCGAAGGATACGTACTTCGGTTGTTGGTCTGGTGCAGAGCAAAAGTTGTGACGTGAGGTCTGTTCCTGCTGTCTGACTGCCTTCTGTGTTCTCCTTGGCAGGTTGCCTCTCCCTCCTGGTGACGGTGCAGGATGTTGAGCGTTACACCACCTTATTTGCCACTGTCATCCTCAAGTGTGACTACAGCACCTCAGCACAGCTGCAGGACGTGGTGGTGACCTGGCGCTTCAAATCCTTCTGCAAGGACCCCATCTTTGACTACTACTCAGTCTGTAAGTGTCAGGCTTGTCCTCCAAGGAATCCCTCTTCAAATGGAAAGGAATGGGAAGGTAGACTTCCTGGGGAATACAGGCTTTTGACCTCTTCCTGCCCACAAACCGGGTCGGGTGGTGGCATTTCCCTGTGCTCTAAGAAAAAATACGTCACTTCTGTGATTTCCTTTGCAATGTCAAGGCTTTATGATACGACGTTGTAGAAATCCCAGCCAAAGCAGCTCATTTGTCCCCCTTGTCATCAACTCAGAAGGCAGAGAGGCTCAGCCATGTTTGACCCATGTCAGTCTTGGCAGCCCCATCTTATGCTTCAGCATGTTTCAAAGCAAGGGCCCTGCAACAAGTGGACTTCATGATTCCATGGGGTCTCCATGGTTGAAGCTAGATACCTGTGACCAGGTGTTACTAATTTTAGGAAGTAGAAGAAACGGGCATTTTGGAGGGCAGAAAGACTTCTAATAACATTTACTAGTGGTGGTAGCACTTCATGTGCAGACATTCTGGTGTATGCAGCCTTAATTCAGGAGTGTTTAAGGTGGTTCTTAAGGTGGTATGCAAAATGCATCCTGGGGTGCATCAAACACAGTATAACCAGCTGGTCAAAAGAGGTGATGATCTCGCTATATTTAGCATTGGTGCAGCCTCACCTTGAGTGCTGTGTACAGTTCTGGGCCCCACCATTTAAGAAGGATGTGAAGGTCCTTGAATGCATCCAGAGGAGGGCAACAAAGCTGGTGACAGGGCTGGAAGGAATGAGGAGGAGCGGCTGAGGACTTTAGGTTTGTCTGGTTTGGAGAAAAGGAGGCTGAGGGCAACCTCCTTGCTCTCTGCAGCTTCCTGAGGAGAGGAAGGGGAGAGGGAGGTGCTGAGCTCTTCTCCCTGGGATCCAGCGATAGGACGCATGGGAATGGTTCAAAGCTGCGCCAGGGGAGGTTCGGACTGGACATTAGGAAGCATTTCTTTACCGAGAAGGTGGTTAAAGACTGGAACGGGCTTCCTAGAGAGACAGTCAATGCCCCATGCCCGTCAGTGTTTAAGAGGCATTTGGACAATGCCTTTAATAACATGCTTTAACTTGGTCAGCCCTGAAGTGGTCACGCAGTTGGACTAGATGATCCTTGTAGGTCCCTTCCAACTGAACTAAACTATTCTGTTCTGTTCTCTATAAACCCTGCAGTATGTTTAAGCTGGCCAACCTTAGCTTAACTGCACACTTAAGAGAGCTCAGAGTGGGGAGCCTGGATTTGTTTGGTGTCTTTGTGCCCAAACTCTCCTTTATGCAGTCTGGATGGATTGGGTAGGCATGTCACCACATGCTCTACAGCCTAGTCCACAAGCAGGTGGGTCCCTGGCTCTGCTGATCCCAGCATAACGTGAGTGCTTTGAGCCCAGGCTCAAGGTAATAGCCCCCAACAGGGACAGAAAGCATGAAGGTCATGATGTTTGCTTGGTTGGATCTGCTCTTCATGATCCGTTGTAGATACAGCAATGGAGGAGCCTTTGACAAGCTTTATCCTCTCCTTTCTTCATTGCAAGCCCTTTACAGACAATGCTCACTGTCTGTATCAGTTGTCTCCCCAATTCTCAGCTCCCAAACACCTGGAAAACAGTTTATATTGTGAGTCTGTCATAAGAGTATTGGACAGAAATTGCCTCTAGCCCTCCATTAATTCTGTTGGGTCTCTCTACATGTAATCCTTAGCTGGAATCAGATGATGGATTCTTTTCTGTCTTTATGAGCTCCACAACATCTAATGGGATACAGGAGGGAAAGGGAGACAATCCCTACAGTGGTTCATGTATGTCTGGAGAGTTTGTTTGGTAAATAAACACACTTTTGTTTTAGTTCCAGTACTCCTGGGAGTTTTATGGCTTTTTTTCCTTGCAGTTTATCTTCATACTGGGAGCTGTACTCCAGCCTACCACCACTAGCTTCTTTCTACTGTTCTTCTTTCACTGTGAGTACAGGAGGCATCTCCTCTGCAGCTCCTGCGCTCTCAAAATCTCTGCCATTCCTGTGGCTCTACCTCTGTTTGCTTTGGAGTACTCCAAAGCAACTTGTCCTTGCTGGTTTGAAGCCATGCTTTGTATTACTAAACGAAAGCAAATGCGCACATGCATTCAAGAGTTTCTCTGCTGCTCACAAGAGGATAGAAACTGGTCCTTTGAAATAACTTTTGGCATCTTATTTGATGTAGCATACCAGGCTGGTTTAGCCCTTGGCCAGGACCCATCTGACGACTGCAATGACAGCCAGCGAAAGGTGCGCATTGTCATCCAGAAATATGGGCAGAAGGAGCCTGTGCTGGGTATCGACTACCAGCAACGAAAGATCACCATTCAGAACCGTAAGTGACTTGACCTCCCAGGCAGGGAGTGAACTCAGTAACTGTCCAGTATCTGGGCCTGCCAAGTGAAGGGAAGCATAAACATGGCTAATGGCATCTGCAGCTTACATATTCTGAGAGGTGGCAATGAAATAAGAGTTGTGAAGGGCCCTGTCTCCAGCTGGCCTGAGGGTGTTGGAGGCACTACAAGCTAAGGCTGAGCTGAGGATGCCTGAGCATTTTGCTGAAGAGTGCAAAAGTAAGCCGAGGAGCCCAGAGGCTAGAAAACAGTTCTTTCTTCTAAGAAGTACTGCATAGTTGTCCAGGTGCATTATATGCTCCCTGCTGTCCCTGGAGCAATAGCTGCTGCTACTGCAAGAAGAGTTATTGGGATGGCTGACCTAATGGGGACAGTGATCTGTGTTCCAAAACCAGTAGGGTTGGCAGCAGTGGGTATCTGTTAACATCCATCGCCCACCAGCATGCTGGTTATGTCACTCCACACAGAACTAGTCCTGCTTCTAAGTAGCGTTGCCTTCCAGCAACACAAAGAAAAAAGGGTCTGGCAGTTGATGCTGCTTACAGGAGTTCTCAGTGGACTCAGGTGGGCTTGTTTGAAGGTGATGGCTACACTTGGGAAGTGGGGAGATGCAGTACTATATGTCACCTGCAGGGAGAGGGCCCTCTTAGAGTGGGGCCTGAAAGTAATGTCTGTCAGTCCCAAATAGCCCGCTGACCTCTTGGTCTCTCTCCCACAGGGGCAGACCTTGTCATCAGTGAGGTCATGTGGTGGGACCATGGCGTGTACTACTGCACTGTGGAAGCACCAGGAGATACCTCAGGTGATGCGGACAAAGAAGTTAAGCTGATTGTTCTCCGTAAGTGCCTGTAGTTTGTTGCCTGGGTGGCAGGTATCTCCTCCCGTTCTCTTCCTCCCCACCCCAAGATGTCTCCAGCAGTGGAGAGGTGCTCAGTAACTTACTATGCCAAGGTACATCAGGATGCTCTTTCTCTCTCTGTTTTTCCCACAGACTGGCTCACAGTACTCCTCATCATTCTCGGTGGCCTCCTCCTCCTTCTGCTGATTGGAATATGCTGGTGCCAGTGCTGCCCCCAGTATTGCTGCTGCCACATCCCATGTGTCTGCTGCCCAACCCGGTGCTGCTGTAATGAGGAAGGTGAGGTTCAACCAAACGTGCATCCATTCATGGCTTCTGTCAAGACAAAAGCTTGACTGGGAGCTTGCTGAGCTCCACTTTCTCCCTCCAGTTCAGTGTCCATATAGACAGAAATATTTCTTTGGCCAATGTGACCTCTGTGACCAGCTTATTTGAGCTTAGAGGAGAGGAGCTAGGATACACGGAGCCCATCTTGCTCCTCTGGGTCCTACTTTCAGAAGTTTGTCCTCACTCACACCTTGCTACCAACTTCTCTCATGTCATCCAGGGCACGATCAGCTCCCTTGTGTCAGTAGCTCAGGACTTTTCTTCCCTGTCTCGTAGTTCATATGGCTGCGCATGTGAGGAAGGCAAGCAAATGCCTTCGTACTACTCTCCAAACTGGGCTGACCTTCAAGTGTGTTGCTCTGAGAGGTAATTATGTAAAAATTGGAATTTTCTATCTTCATGGTATTTTCAGAGCTCCTTCTTCCACAAGAAAAAGGTTTTGCTTGGTTTTCTTTGGGGAAGGAAGCGAGGAGAAAGAAAGGAGAAAGCTGGTCTGTCTTGGTGGTCAACCCTGCAAATCCATTCTGATGTTTTGAGGGACAAGAGAAACTTTGTTGTGCATAGTTTTTAGCAGTAATAAAGATTCTGCAGCCAGACCCTGTTCTCTTAATAAGGCCAGTGTTTGATTTTGGCTAGTAACATCATATAACCTCTGTGTTCCTGTAACTGAAACTTAGTAGCGACACAATGTGGAACGGCCCCCCCCCCCCCCCGCAGCTTACACAATCTGCCAGGAACAAAATGCAACAAATACATTTATTTATCACTGAAATCCCCAGATTCTTCCCCAGATGCTACAAGGAGAGGATTTATGAACAAGGAGCTGTGTTTCTGGTTTCCCTTTACCTGCAAAAGAACTATTTGGTATACCTTGGGTGTTAGTAAACAGTGAGAGCTTTAGAATCAACTTTTTTGCAAAAAAGTTGTTGAGTACCTCAGCCTTCTCCTCGTCCATTGTTACCAGTTTGCCAGTCTTGCTCATCATAGATGTAAGCTTAATTTGCTTAGCCCTTGCAAAGAGTGAACAGAGCATCCCTCTCATTTGCTAAAAGCAAAACAAACCAAAACACTTTCTGAGGCCTTTACAAGCTGTCAAGTAAAATGCGTGGTGTTGAGGAGTCTATGGAAATTTGGCAGAAAAATTAGTTTCCATGAAGGGAGAGAGAGGTGATGGAGATGAAAGACTCACACCTCCAGACTTCCTCGTTCTCATCAAAAAAGGGATTCAGAACATGTGTGAGTTCTTTTCTTGGTTTTCTGTGCTGTAGGAGATGATGGCACGCACCAGACTGCTGCTGTTGTCTTTCCTGCCTCCTGTTGAGGATAGATAGGAGGGATTCTTGCGGGGTTCCCAAAACCTCTCCCTGCTCACGAGGGAAGGTACAGATGAGTCCAGCCTCCTTGACTGGCTGCTGGATTCTGTGGCTGTAATTTCCATCTCAGCTGCCCGCCCTCTTTATCCACTTGGCAAGGGACCCTTGTGCCTGCTCCCCTCCTCCGGCGTGCCTTCTCTTCACCTCATCCTGCCTCTGACTTACATTTTTGGACTCCAAGAAATGGACTGGAGGCCTTAAAAACCACAAGAAGATAGATACAGGGGGCATCGTAAAAAAGAGTCCTAAGGAATAACACTTCCACACAGCTGAAGAGCAGTCAGAAATCCTCAACTAAGTCTTAGCAGTGAACAGTGTGAGCCGAGTACGGATGATTTCTTCCCAATTATTGGCCACTAGAGGGTAGCCTAGATCCGCTGAACAGTCATAGATTCCATCGAGGCGAGGTAATTCTGGGTGATTTAAGTCAGGTCATTAACTAACATGATTTTGAACCTAGTAATAAAAGAAGTGCATTGTTTGAGTAATTCAGAATTGGTGTACAGAAATATTAAACATGCCCCAGGAGCAAGCCAATTACATTCCCCATGGAAAGCTTTGAGAAAAGCCGATCAAGGTAAATATACGTATGACCTCCTTCTGTTCTTATTCGTTCCTTTTCTACTGTGGACTTCTTCCACTAATGAATCAGTGCAAAATAGGATATTCTTGCACCTGGGTCTGACTAGGTTGGAATTTTTTTTTATAATTGGATAATTGGCCTAGCAGCTGTAAAGTCTGTCAAAGGTGAAGAACAACCTTTCTCAGCAGGGAGTAAGCGGAGGGAACAACACAACATTCTGCCAAAGTTTTATAGCAGGTATGAGTTTTGGAATTAGGGTGAAACTGACCGTCAGATAAATATGTTCACTTTACAAAGAGATCTGTAACTTTACTTCCATTTTGCAGATGCGGAACCAGAGTATGTATCAGGTTCAAACTGGAAGGCAAAGTATCTCGGGAAGGAAGAGAGGATGAAGGTGGGGAAGGAAGTCCAGGGGTAATTCTGCATTTCTTCAGCTGTAGGGAGAGATCAGAGAATTACAGGGACGGGATGACTTTGGTCCTAGCGACTGCCTTCATACCTTAAGGAGGGGAACCATGAGTAGGTATGCCCACAGCTGCTGGGCCTCTCACTCCTCAGGCAAAGACTGTGGTCAAAACCCAGGGACGTGCACTCAGCAGGTTCTAGGACATTCTCAAGATGATAACTGGAGGAACAGGAGAGGAAGAGATAAGGCCTTTCCCTTCTTTTTATCCTTTTTCATTTTCCTCTTTCTCTCTTCCTCTAAGTTTGAAACCTAAACTGGAGGAAAGTCCCTTGAGGAAAAAAAAAGCATGAAGCAAGTTTGACATAAAATGCTTGAAAGCTGCTACCTCAGGTCACACAGCTTTGAAGAAAAATCAGAGTATTAGGATTAAAACCCTGAAGTTTCCAGCTTTGTCATTCACTCTGGTTGGAGCCAGGCTGGGGAGGGGGAGGGAGTTTGGAGTGGAGAACAAAGTGGAGCTGCATGAACTGTGGGGAAAGGGAAGGATGTGCTGAGAGGCATGGTCAGTCCCTGTTCTGCTGCAAGCAGTGCTCTGCATAAATTCAGTGAAACAGCTAAAGGAGGACATGTTTAATAACTGGCATGCTACCTGAAATGGAGAGCTCAGTCCCAAAGAGCATGCAGTCTAAATGCTGCCTGCTGCAGATGAACCCAGGGGACAGAATTAATTGGAGCTTAGCAGTAGCCTGGTTTCTTAAAGAAGCAAGGCTTATGCAGTCAACCTGTCTGTCTATCCCCTATCTCTTCCCCTCTAATAGCTTTTAATTTCATCAGCCAACTTCAGCCAAATGTATCAGAGGGGTAAAAGTCTCAAAGGCAATTACGTTCCTATCTGTCTCCTGAACTGTATAGCCAGGAACGTTCTGTTACTGCCTGACCAGAGAAGAGGCTGCAGTAAAAGCCTGCCGCTTCTGAAACTCCAGAGAAGCCATATAAAAGAAATTTTGCAAAGACCCTGTTGCAGAAAAGCTTCACCCAGTAATGACAGACAAATCATGCAGAGTCAGGCTTTGTAAGGTCTGGAGCTTGCAGAATTTACTTGCTCATAAACTTAAGTTTTGATTGTCTGTGGTAGAAGGAATGAGTTTCTGTAAGATGTTTTTAGGTATTCCCAAAAAAGAAGCAGCAACGAGCCCTGGTTTTGAAGACAGGGATGGTGATGTTGTCTGTTGTAGAGGAGGTGAGATGGAAGCACTGAAAAAAGTGAATTGGAATTGGAGCCTGACCCCACGAGTAGGGTTCTGGAGTTAGCAGTGGTGGAAAACCAGTGAGGGAGAGAAATTTCCACTGAGTTTCCTCTTTTGGCACACTGGACATTGCTGTTGAGAACAGGAAATTTAGTTTGTTCACCAGTTTGCCCACACCATCCTGAGGGATTTCATTTTAGCAGTCATGCTGAGGTAAGTTACAGAGAGAGACAACAAGAGTCGTTGAAAGACTAGAAAGGGAGAAGCTGGACAGTGCGTCTCTGAGTGCCCTATTTGTGGAACAGAGAGGAAATTATGGAGTATGGTGTGGAAAATATGATCTGGACAGAGCCTACAGGAAAGTGGCAAAAAAAGGTCTCGTTTAGCTGTAAATCAAAGCCAAAAGGGGAAAGGACCAGTGGTGAGCTGAAAGAGTTTTAAGAGAGAGAAAACAGTGTGGCATGCCTTGCTGTATGAAACGTTATTTCCCACCTTTCCGCAACTGTACTCATAATGACAGGGCAGGTAGAAGTCTTGCATTTGGTTATGTGCTGTGTACTTAATCATTTGTTCCCAGTTGCTGGAACTGGATGCCGAATGTCAGGCAGTAACCCTTTTCTTCTGTTTTAGGTATCTTTTTGAAGCTGTACAACTTCATAGTGGAATTTCCTGTGCTCTGTTTTACCTTTGTCATAGGGTGGAGAGAGCTGTTCATTCTGTGAATTTCCTGTATCTGATCACATCCAAAGGCTACAGTCTGTCACGCAAAATGGTATGTGGTCTGCAAGCTGTGCTCTCTGGATAGCTACTGTATGCTTTCTTCTTCTTTTACAGTACTGGAACGGCATCGGTTCATGAAGCAGGCTCAGGCACTTGCACCTTGGATGTCACCCAACATGTTCTACAGAGGTGGCGACAGGAACTCGCAACTTTCCTCTTACCAGCTGAACCCTCTACTGCAACAAGGTGAGACCACGGGCATCATTTCAGAGGGAAATCAGGATGAGAAACAGGTAACTTCTCAGGGAAGTTCAGCAGTGAGGCTTTAGCCTCTCTACTACAAAAGAGAGAAAGATGTTCCTAGCATGACTGCGTGTCCTAGCGTGTAGCTCTGCTACATCTGCAGCATACTATAGACTTGCCTGGGTGGATAAATACAGCCTATCCATCTTAAGTGTCTTGCTAGGCTCAGTGCTGGGTGAAGTAGTTTAATGCTAACTAAGATATATCTGTGCTACACCCCAGCGACTGCAGGGTAAATATACCCAGCTTATCTCGCTTCGTGTGGTAGAGGAGGGTAGTGTCTCTTTGTTCTGCTGTGCTGGTCACGGTCAACTCCTTATAGCCAAAATTGACATGACAACTGAGGTGCAATTTGTTTGAGTTCTTATCAAATGTCTAGTCTTCAAATGATTAAGGGCAAACTACCTTCTGTGCAATAGATCTAGCCTGCATGCAGCAAAGAATGAAGGACTCTTTAATGAACCAGGAAGAATTTGCCAGTTGTTCTGCCCCCAAATCGCTTGTATTAGTGGTATTTATTTGTAACTTTAATGGAGGAGGGAAGATGGAGTCTCTGAAGTCCTAGAGAAATAAGTAATAAAGTAACTTATTGCCAGTAATACTATTTAAAAGCCCAAAGAAAATAAGGAAATTCAACATAATGACTTCTCAAATAAATATAACATATTTTTCATCTGAAATTAGCTTGTCATCACTATACAGCAGTCACAGATTTACTCTGTGTCTGATGAGTCTTAACTCAGTTTGAAGAAAGAGTTTGCAAACATCTTAAATGCTAGATTCAAGATGTTTGAGTATATCCTTTTTTAGCCCACTAGTTAATTCTACAGTTACCTTTTTCCTAGCCAGGGCACCAGTTTTCCTTAGGAAGATCTGGTGACTGAGCCACCATGATTTAAGACAGAATGCACTGAGTCTTCTCAAGGAAATCCATGTGCATGCTGGCAGAAAATGGGCAAGTAAGTTCCTCGGGCAGTTTCCTAGCCTGTGTTTTCACAGTCTTTGAATCTCCTGTGCTTATGTTTCCCTTACATTTGTTTCAGGTCATGTTTTTAGAGATGTTGGGTAGAAGGGACCTCTAAAGACATCTAGTCCTACCTCTTGCTCAAAGCAGGACTGTCACCAGTCTCAGTCACATTAGCTGTGGCTTTGTCCAGCCGAGTCTTGGAAACCTGCAAGGATGGAGATTCCATGACTTCTCTGGGTAACTTTTCCAGAGCTGGACCAGTCTCCTAGTGAAGAAACTTCTGCATTTGCTACTTATATCTATACATACATGTGTGTGTGTATGTGTGCATATATATATACAGAAATTTTTTTTTCTTTTGCAGTATTGGTTCATATTTCTTCCAGTTCAATGAGATATAAGAGGAAACACTATGAACTTTCTCAGATTTTTTTTAAAATAAAATTTGGTATCAATGCTGTAGGAAAAAAATGTTCCTCTCTCTAAATACCTAAACTATATTCCCAGGTGTGCTGGATGACTTTGATTTCTTACCTCTGTCCTGCCCAAAACACAGATCATGCTGCAAATTACTAGTTACTGCTCTTTACACCTTACCTTGTGTGGTCTGGATGTGCTGGTTGTGATGCTTGAGACTCGCGCAGCTCTTGCAGTGAGGAGGAGCAGGAGAAGAGAGGCTCAGAGGGACTCAGCCAGGATCATTAGTGCAGATGGGCCCTCTCCTTGTTGTTTCCGCTTGACTTGCTGCGTTCTCCTGTGCTTTTATCCTTAGATGTGTCTCTGCAGAACAGTCTTCCACTGGTGCAGCCACAAGCTCAGCTTTCCCCTAACAAGGGTGTTTTGGACTATCTGGAGTCTGAAATCCAAAACCTTAACATGTCACAGCTCCGGCCACCCTCCCACCAGCGGCAGGCTGTGCAGCCCAGCTTGCTGTCCTCCCTGGGGTCCGAGATCATGCCACCTCCTCTCGCTGATCACATCTCCTCCATCCACGGGAGCAGCAACTCCTCACGGCCACAGAGAGCTGCCCGCACCCCCAGACCCTGGGACTCTGCAGCAGAGGACAGGAGGGAAAACCGGAGGTGGCCCTTGCCTTCCAGTGGGGATTCTCATTCCAGCTACAGTCGGGAACCCTGGGACAGGCAGCGAGAGGACCATCGTCAGATGCAGAGGACAGGCGGCTACAATGGCAGGCCCCAGCACTCCAGACGGGATGTGTCACCCCCACGCCAGGCTGAGAGGGGCAAGAGCAGCAGCAGCAACTGCAGTTTCTATCCAGAGGAGGCCAAGGAGCGCTCCAGCCACTGGAGACAGGAGCCTGCAGGGAGGCGAGAATACCAGCACCACACCAGGAGAAGCAATAACTCAGGTGGTCGGCGGCACAGCTACTCTCCCCCTTCTCGCCGGGGGTCATGGAGCTCCTCAGAAGAGCAGGTCCGTCTCCCAGCAACAAACCGCAAGCGGCGGCACCGGCCTCGGGAATGGCCAGAAGATAAACCCCCCAGTTACCGCTCATTAGAAGTCATCCCAGGTCAGGACAAGAAGCACAAAAGCAGCGCAGGGCCACGCTCGGTGAGTCAGCTGCTTTCCCATCTAAGGGAAGAAGTGGGTTTTGGGGAGTGAGAGTGAATGTTCGTTACTTTCTGCAGCCTGTTGTCTTTCAAACGGAGGGCAAGGAGCACTGGGTGCCCTGCGCAGCTTGGTTATGAGGAGGCTGCTGAGTTCCCTGCCTTCAGACATGTGTTGCATGGCTATAGCGTGTTCAGGGGCAAAGTGAGCAGTCAAATAACGTGGGTCCCCTATCACATCCCACACCAGGTGACATGTTACATTCTCTCACTCCTGTCCCCACCTACAGGCACCTTGGGGCTCTGTATATGTGGTGTTAGAATAGCTGTTCTCCTGGGGAGAAAGCACTTCCAGAGTAGGCAGCAGTACTGAGTATCCCTCTGCAACCCTCTCTGGTGTTGGTTTACTTCTGATTTCTTTTAACATGTGCGTGACTCTCTTGTTGTTGATCTCTGACATTTAATTTTTATAGTATCTTGGTGATATTTTTAAGATGGTTCATATGGGAAAGCATCCAGGTAAGATGCCTAAAGCTCCATGAAATAGGCTTTAACATCATGGGTGGCTGTAGCAGTGAGAACTGTGTGATCCTCCAGGTCAGGTAGAAGGGGATGGCTCACTTGTTGGAACTCCTGAGAACTGCACGTGCATTGTATGGGCAGCGAACAGCTATTGTTCACAGCTCATCCTGTCAGTTTACACTGGGACTAGATTTCAGGTAGCAACCTACGTGTGAAAAGCTTCATATCCAATTGCTAGTCTCCAAGTTAGACAGTGTATTCTCCCTTAAAAAATGAAGGTTTTTTTAAATAAAAAAAATGTTAAGTGTCCCTTAGCACATATATGCAGAATTTTACCAGGTCGGAGTCTTCTCCAAGGGCTGTATTTTGCCCAAGACCATTTTCCCTTCCAAGTTTTGGAAGGAATTGCAGTTCTAGTCCCAGCTGGGATATGTGTATGTATGAATGGTTTTGTTATGGTGCCAGAGCACGCAGGAAGACATATGATTTCCATTCATCCTTCCTTATTCCTGAATCTTTTATTTTCTCTTGCAGGACAGAGGAAGTTCCCACAGTGGAAGAAGCATAGTCATTTAATGCCAGTACTGAAAGAACTAAGATTCCCACTGGACTCCTCTTAGCTTTTCTACTATGTCGGTTGGGATGGCTGCTTTTGATTGAACAGACAACCAGCAAAAAACCAGATGAAGCAGCTTCCTCTTAGACTTGCAACTCTGAAGAATCTATGTCTAGTGCCCATGAAAGCAATACATAACCCATTTTTATTCTTGCTGTGATTTGGAAACAGGTCTGCAATGGGCTGTGGTCAGTTGAAAACATTCTATTGGAAACAGCAGATTTTTTTCTGTAAATGGTATTTTCCCAATCTTTAAAGAGAGAGATACCAGTTGTCTTTGTTCGGTGCCCTGGCACCATAAGGAGCCCAGTCCATAGAATGCTGGTCCTTTGCACACTAGTTACTGGAGAAGGGCTCCAATGATTACAGAGTTGTAAAGTCACAGAACAGTAGAATGATTTAGGTTGGAAGAGGCCTCTGGACGTCATCCGATCCGGTTCCCTGGGAGTTTGGTGTAGGGAGGCAGAGCATCTCCTTTCTAAAGCCCTCTGTTGTGCTTCACAATGTGTAACGTGTGCTGCTCCTGCCTGGCTGCTCAGCATAGTTGGGGCAGTTGTTTTCTTTTGTCCTGGGTAAGCCTCTCTCCCAAACAGAAGGATCACAGTGTTGGAAGGATGTTTGACTGCCTTAATAAGGGCTCACTAGCACGTCTGCAAATTGCTAGCTTATCTGCCCTATACTGACTGAATCAACCTACCCTACTTTAGGCTTAGACCTTAGTGCCTTAAAAAATACTTGTTCTAGCCTTTAACCCAGACTTGAATTTATTCGTAAACTTAAAGGGCTAAATTTACCAAGGTTTGGCCGTCCCCACAGAGACTGAGCAAGGTACGACTACTGTCCCTCACACCGTGGACCAGGATTTCTTTCAAATCTAGGAAGCATGACTTTGGTGAATGTATCTTTCCTAAGCCATGTACTCTTTTCCATGCATTTTATATTCTCCCTTTTCTCTCTGTGCCATGGGGTGGGATAAAGGACTCTGAAGAAGTCTTACAGTCACCATTTTTACTATTGTCCTTGATCTTTACCCTGACATTTTTACCAACTCTGCATATGCGGTGCATCTGATCTATAGCTAGATTGCAGGGTTTTCTCATCTCTTACCTTGCAACTAGAACACAGAATTTCTGTACGCTCTGAGACCAGTTGTGAAGGAGAACAACTTGCCATTTCACCTTGGTGTGATTCAGCCACTGTTTTCATTTAAAATGTGCTGGAAAAAGAGAGGTTCTCTGGATGCTGGCTGCTTCCACAGGAAACTGGCTTGCCAAAGGCACTTCTTGGATTCAAGAGACTCAACTGTCAGCAAGGAGCTCTTGGAGCATCTTGTGAATTATGTTGTAACCCAGAGGCACTAGAGATTGGCCAGTATCAATGACCGTATTGCCTAGCTTATTTCCCAACCAGTGCCACATGGGACACTTGCTACTATTTGTTCTTTAATGTCCCCATTACTGATGTGCTTATGCTTTCCCTTGGAAGACTGACCTGGAGAGGCTTTCAGTTTGCCCACCTCCTTTTTTTCTTTTCTTTGGACAACAATTGGAAACATCACATTTGGAGGAAATAATCCTAGCGGGATATCCAATGCAGTTACTGGTCAAGCAAAGGCTAATACAGAGAGTGGTCATTTTCCTACAGTTTCTTGGCTGACAGTGCTTATTTCCAATTCCTGTGTATGGAGATAAAGCAGGAGGACCCACTAGCTTCTCTGGTTGACTTCTTGTTTCAGAACCAGAGGCCTACTTTTTGAAGACAGAGGGGCTGTTCACCAGCAGTTGATGGCTAGCACAAAACGGAGCTAAAAGAGCTAAAAGACCAACTCCAAAGTTTGAATTCCAGAAAGGAAGGCTGTATTAAGTGTAGCCCTTGTCTGCATTAGACCCAAACTGTGAATAATGTGAACTGACCCATGAGTTACATCTGAAATATAGGGAATTAAGTGTGTTCGCAGAACTTGCAAAGTCAGTATCATTCTTGAATCTGGTTCCCAGTTGCTGGCTGTGAATCATTTTTATTGTTATTTAATGACATGCTGAGGGTTTTATGCATCCCCTCTCCTAGATGGGCTAGTATTTTTTTTAGTTAAGAGGAGTTTATGGTGACTGCAATGACAGAAAATAATATGGGGCTCCTTCTTCCAAAACTAGCACCCTGTTTTGACTTTAGCATTGCCCTCTGGCGAATAGTAGCAGATCCCCAGGGCTCTGCAGATTCTCCCCTTGGAAGCTGAATTAGTGGCTTGGAATTTGACTCTCTCCTCATGCTTCCAATAGGTCCATACATCACGCGGGACAACTTCTTCCTGTCATCTCAACCCAGCCCAAATGTCTGGGTTTCAGGGAAGGGCTGCCCCTTTCTCCATCAAGAGCAGAGGCTATTGAGACATCATTTGAGATCCCAAGATGGT